TACCTGCTGAAACGATGAATATTCCCTCAGATGACCTGTTTACAGGCTAAACACTGTCAGAACACGTTTGTTCAGGCTCACAAAGGCTTCTGCTTCCTGCTCTTTCTTTATCTGCAGTATAATTTATGCAGAGGAGCAGACTGTCTCCAGCATCACCTGATCTGTTCCACGGCCCGCTGCCCGGCCAGGAAACCGGACCACCGATCCTGTTGTTGAAGGAAACCGTGTTGAGCAGCCGTTCAGCACCGTGTGAATCAAAAACTGCAAATTATATCACGTCTGCTTAATATTTATGGGACGTTGTGCAGTTAACATCATCAGAAGAGCAAATTGAACAGCATCTGTAAGTTTGTCAGTCAAGTGATGCAGCGTGAGCCTGAATAAATGAACCGGGCCGATTGCACTCTGCAGTTCTGGATCGTGCCTCTTTGGCTGCTTCTGCATTCACGCTAATTAAATTTGTGCAAGCTCTCAACCCGATTAGAAAGTGATGACAACCCCGCTAACGTTTTTCTGCTCTGCAAAAACATCAGGAGGCCGACAGACACAAATACAGACGAGTCTGTGGGACTTGATCCTATCGGCTGGATAAATAATGTGATGATGACCCGACACTAAATGTAAAACCTTCTTCTATGTCGGATATCAAGGCTGTCGGATTGTCCAGACGGAGGTCCAGATACGAGGAGGGCTTGATGCTGGAAGGCTCATTAGTTGTTCATTATTGTTCATAGTTGTTATAATAACTAGTAGTTCTGGTCCCAGTAGAACTTTCTGCTCTTTGGATGTTCAGGCCCAGTTAATGATGAATACCAGAACATTGGGTGCGGTCGGGGGACACTTCCACCCCGGGGCAGCGCTCTGACGGGGTGGAAGTGTCCAGAACACACAGGCAGTACTTGGCTGCTGATGCTAGTTTAGTTAGCGCTCACACTTCTGTTTCCTCCATCGGTGGCGGCGGGGGAGTGGCAGATACGCTCCACCGTTACCATCCATGTTTACTTCCATAAACACTGAGCACGCTCGCTGCGTGTGACGTCGTCGTGTCCTCTTCTGCGCATGCGGGACACTTTTGGCTCGTATGAAGTTCACACAGCAGATCACATACAAGTCGCATTGAAGTGGAAACGTGAAGGAAGTCACAAAGAAATCCTCATTGAGCATCAAGTCCTGCAGTGTGAACGTAGCCAATCTGTGGGATTGTTCAGTCAGATAATACGCCGTCATCCTGATTGGTGACATTAAATGTCATGTCGGAGTCACAATCCAAGGCTGTCGCTATGTTAAGGCTGTTTTTATGGGTTCTGTTGATTCTATCAGTCGGATTATCGAGTCATGACCGTACATGTTGCGCTGGTGCTTTATTACCCTTTGGCCTGTCGTGGCTAAATGCTCCTGCTGGACTCGTCCTCGGGGGGATGATGTAGTTTGTTTGCAGGGCTGTCGCTGACTTTCTATCCACTTACCCTCCTCCAGCTGATCTCCTCAGTGCTCCTTTACAGCTTTACTCCCTACACCAGTGGAGACGTGGCAGTTCCCATCTCATGAGGTTAAGTGCATCCTGACCTTTTGGTTCCACTGCTGCAGACAGTCCAACGTTATCTGAAGCCATCCTCCCTCCGAGCTGATCCACAGTGACAGGGCTGCTCTGGGCTTCCATTCACTCAGCGCACCATTTTTGGGGGATTTAGCCTTTATTTGAGACACATCTAAACCCGATTTAAATCACAGATGCAGCAGCTGTGCGGTATTTGTCGGACCAGCTCAGCTCTTATCTGGGTACGGATATGCCTTTATTATAATTTCATTCAGCTTGTGTTCTACATACTAATTAATTAGCTCACATTTGCAGGCCTCAGGGATTCACAAAGGCGTAAATCAATAGCTGCTGGGCTAATTGTGGCATGTTTAATGCTGCATCCTGAATAATTAGGATGTGTTTGTCTATCACTGTTATATGTGACCCACCTACAAATCAGGAGCACACATGTGGTCCGTCTTCTCACAGCTCGGTACGTTCATCGTGTAATTAATTTGACGCTGTGAAGGCTACGGTTGCCTTCAGTCTCCATGGCGGTTGATCACTTGTTTGAAGCTTAGCTGGCACGTTAAAGGAAGATCTGGATTCACTTTGTCCACCTGTCTGCCCAAATCAGCAACAACCAAAAACTTCTTCTTTCCTTAGATGTAAAAATACATATTGAAGAGACTGAAACTGTTTTTTACAGTAACAATGCATCTCGTTGTTGTTTACATGCATGCAGACGTGTGTAGAAGAGGAAGAAGACGTAGAAGAGCGTCCGGCTGTAGCGCTGTGCAGAGCGCTGACGTCATGGGTTCAGGTTCTGGTGCAGACCGTTACTATTTGGGCTCTCAGTGCAGCAGCAGCAGCTTTTATTTACTTGAAGAAGCTCAAACAAATCCATGGTGAAGCTGCTTTCCCAGCACCGCGCTGCACACCCAGAGACCCAGAGGTTTGTTTGTGGGTCGGTGGAGGCCACAGTGGAGCTACAAGAGCCTCCACCTGAAAGCTGTTCGTCTGCTTGAAGTGTAAATCAGCAGCTTCAGTAAAGAGCAGCTGGATTTCTTTGTTTTGTGGAGTTTTACTTCTCATCCAAGAAGTCTCTCAGAAGTTTAACGTCTTCAAGAACCATAAAAACGGTCCAGTTGCTTTTTACTGAAGCTCTCAGAAGAGCCGCTGAGACGCCACACCGATGACGAAGCAACCGTCTGAGAGGTTAGAAAAGGTCGTCAGCTTGTTTCCCAATCAGTCTGCAGAAAACACATTCAGTATATTACAGATAAATGTTCTCCATCATGGAGATGACTTCGCTGGACTGAAGAGAAATAAATAAATAATCAACCTATTAAAAACACATCTGACGGCTGTGATGCTAACGTCCTGTTCAGCTGACAGGAAGCCACTCGCTGGCCAGATGCTTCAACCAGCTCCTCACAAGCACAAATACATCTCACATTAATGATCCATTTGTTTTAGGCTGATGGTCCACCGACCGGTCACTCAGACCGGTGCAGGAGCCGGTTATGGCACCACCAGGATGTTTACCGAAGTGTGTCTACAGCTGATGGACAAACATGAAGAGCTGACGGCAGGAGCAGCATCCATCAGGTCAGCCTGTGCTGTAGAGGTGGAGATGCAGACTGCTGGTGTGAGTCACCGATCCAGACAGCGTGGTGTCTGTCTGAGCACCGGCCAGGTTGTGGTGCAGTGTCTCTGTAGTGTTTCCTTCATCTCCACCTCCTGTTGGATCCGATACAGAAACATGAAGCGCCTTCGTTCAGATGAGCTGAAGCTCAGACCTGCAGAGACGGAGCTCCTGAACACATCCAGCTTCTAACATCTGACTCCTGTTTGTTGATTAAGGCCTTAAAGAAAACTGTGTTTGGTAACATTCAGAACATCCATCATCTCTACACCTTCATCCTCACCAGGGTCATGGGGGGCGGAGCCTATCCCAGCTGACTCAGGGTGAAGGCAGGTTCACCTGGACAGGTAACCAGTCCATCACAGGGCTACACTTAGAGACAGACAACCAAGCACACTCACATTCACACCTACGGACAATTTACAATCACCAGTTAACCTCAGCATGTTTGTGGACTGTGGGAGGAAGCCGGAGAACCCGGAGAGAACCCACGCTGCACGGGGAGAACATGGAGACTCCACGCAGGAAGATCCCGGGTGTCCTCACTGGGACGTGAACTGGCGACCTTCTAGCTGTGAGGCCACGGTGCTAACCACTGATCCACCTTCAGAACATGAAACCACGTGCTCCACATTCACCACCAGCGGCTCCGTGACGACATAAAGCAAGCAGCTGATTTTTTTTACGTTTTATTTTTTGTTTGCTTGATTTTCTTACTCAAACATCTTCTAGATCTTTTTTAATCCACTCACCTGCCATTTATGTTCTTTCTTTATACCTTTACACATAAAAAAAAAAAAAAGTTATTTGGGAAACACATCCACAGCTTTTACATCCCATAACGTTATATCCTCAGTGACGTATGGCACATACAGTCCATCACCCAGGAACCGAGCAACTCTTCTTTTTAGTATTTTTTCAGATTTACCGTCTGTGTTCCTGTGATTACATCTGCTCATGACACTCTCTCACATGAAGGTAAAATAAGCATTTACATCAGGAAAGCAAACACATTAAATCCCTCTAACACATGATCCTCAGCGTCCAGGACCCACCGACACGTGTGACCCTTCGCTTGACATTTTTCTGCTCGAGCACATCAGTGTGTGAGACTTTCAGAGGGAGTCATCTGTTGCTATGGCGCTGTGCGCTGCTTAACATTCAGAGAGGAAATGCTGTTTCCATTTCAGTCTCTGTAATGACGAGAGATGCCTCGCTGGAGAATAGCATGTGGAAATGTCAAACCCTCAAAGCTCCTCCCTTCTTCAAACACGCATATATTACAGTAACTGCCTTTACACACACACACTCACACTCACACACCTCTTTCAAGTATAATTGCATATGTGGAGACAGTTTTTTTTACTAAACCTTCAGAGTTTGAAGTGTTTCTAAGCACTGTACTGTACCACAGAAACATCAGATGGAGCAGCAGCAACGACACGGATTCAGACGACACATATTTCATGGCTTTTCGTTTCCGCCGGATTAAATCCAGTCGCTCTGCGCTTCGCTCTTTCCACACAGTCACACTAAGTCCTTGTTTGTTTGGAATTGTTTTGCTCAGTCCAGGAAACAGCGACGTCCCTGTGACCTGAAACAGTTTGAAAACCTGCTTTGTTTTTCTGAAGACGGGCTCCACAGTTGTTGAGATTTTCTCTTAAAGAAGCATGCACGAGTCTACAGGATGGATCTACGTCAGGTCTCTAACGATCGATGGCACGCCGTGGACTGATGTAAAACAAACAACACATCACATTATAGGATGGGACAATTAATGGACAGTTCCACCATCTGTATGATCTCCTGGAAGGTTTAATCCACTGCAGCTTCTCAGGAGCACCTTCTGAACTTGACGAGTTTCTGGAACGCCTGTTTGAACTCGTCGTTGAACGCGGTGTAGATGACGGGGTTGATGAGGGAGTTAAGGTATCCCAGCCAGGTAAAGATATCAAACAGCACCGGATCAAACCAGCACTCTTTGCATATGGCCATGACCAGCGTGCCAACGAAGAACGGCAGCCAGCAGACGATGAAGGCGCCCAGGATGATGCCCAGCGTCTTGGTCGCCTTCCTCTCGCGCGCCGCGCACAGACGCTTCCTCTCCAGCACGCTGTCTGCCAGCTTCACTTTCACGCTGTTCATGAACAGCGGCGATCCTCCCTCTCCTCCTCCGCCGCCGCCTCCGGAGTGTAGGTGTGCTTCCTGGTGGGAGGAAGAATTAAGGGAACAGAGAGACGAGCCTGCCGAGGTCTGGATGAGCTGCGCCGTGGTGAAGCGCTTCCCGGACGACGACGGCGTCTTGAAGATGCGGGAGCGGGCCGCCACGTAAATCCGTCCGTAGAGGATGACGAGAAGCACCGTGGGAACGTAGAAGGCGCCGAAGGTGGAGTACAGGGTGTAAGAGATCTGGTCTGTGTTCACCATGCACTCCGTCAGCTCCTCGTGGGCTTTGGCCTGCCGCCAGAAAAGTGGAGGCATGGAGATCGATATAGAAATCACCCACACCACCCCGACCATGATGGCCGCCCGGCGCATGGTGCGGCGCTTTGAGTATTCCAGAGCGTCGGTGATGGCCCAGTAGCGGTCCAGTGCGATCACACACAGGTGCAGGATGGAGGCCGTGCAGAAGGTGATGTCAGACGACAGCCAGATGTCACAGACTATCTGGCCCAGAGACCAGGTCTTGCTGACGGTGTAGACGATGCTTATCGGCATGACTAAAATCGACACCAGCAGGTCTGTGACGGCCAGAGAGCCGATCAGGAAGTTGGCGGGCGTGTGGAGCTTCCTGGTGAGGAAGATGGTGGCGATAACGAAGGCGTTAGAAAGCACCGTCGCCAGGGTGACGAGGGCCAGCAGGGCGGACAGGGAAACCTGGAGGCTGAGCAGCGTGGTCTCGCTCCACGGCGGGACAGTGGTGGTGTCCGGGAGCTCCGTCAAGTTACTGGTGAAGTAGTCCAGGGAGCTGTTGTCCAGCTCCATTCTGCCTCCACGCCCTTAAACTGTCTCCTGTTTGAAATCTGGCTTCATCACTGTGATCTGAAAGGCTCTGGCATGGCACCGGAGGAGGCCGGGCCGCGGCGTGGTACCGGAGGAGGCCGGGCCGCGGCGTGGTACCGGAGGAGGCCGGGCCGCGGCGTGGTACCGGAGGAGGCCGGGCCGCGGCGTGGTACCGCTGGTTCTGGCTGCGACTTTATCTTTTATCGTTCTTTCTGCCAGAGCTGTCCTTTACGTCTCATCCCTTTAATTGCAAAATAATTATATCAACCTTTAGCAAACGTCTAATTTCATCATTTCACGTCACAAATAATGATCCTGATGATGAATTGGACTCAACCACTGACTAATTTGTCCGTTTCACTTCTCCTGTATTGACTTGCTTCACCGGCGTAGCTGCAGGAAGCCAGATCCTAATTTGTATTCGGCTCCCATCAGACCGACACGTCTTCTCGTCCCAGCGCTCTTATCTCATCTCCCACCAGCAGCCAGCCGGCCGGCAGCCACACCTTCAGACCAAGCTTTCCTATCTGTCAAATGCTTTAATGGGCTCCTCCTTTTCAATAACGCTAAGCGGGGAGCTGCATGTAGGCAGATGATGACGCCAGATACAAAGGTTGGCTTGTTGTCTCCGTCTTATCTTTTCTCGAGTCCACATGAGGCCTCCTGATTTGAGGTTCGGCTGAAACTCGGCTGTGCCTGGTGTCTCTGATGATGCTGGGAAGCCAAAACACTACAGCGACACCACGGACATCAAAACGGGCCGAGGAACAATTATCTAGTTATAAAGTCTGCCCAGAGATAATTATTCGATATCCGCTGGCAGTTACACACAAGTTTGCTGAAATGCGGCGATCAGCCTTTTTTATTTCAGGTTCCCAGAGTTAAACGGATCAACCGCTTCGTCTTCAGATAAACTTTCACTTGTAGCGCTGGTGCAGATCAGAGGGTTCAGTCGGGCTTTCATCCGGCTTCCTCCGAGGCGTTTTCATCCTGGGTGAGAAAAATAGACAGAAGATTAGTTCTGTTCTTCTAGTTCACCGTCATCCTCCCTGATAAACCGTGTACATAAACACATAAACACATAAACAAACAAACATGGATGACATAGCCACGTGGTAACAGCAATAAATGTGCCTGGGCAACCTGTAAAGGGAGCGCTATGACTCCAAATCTCCAGGATATGTTAAGAAAAGGACATTTAATCAGAGTTAGAAGCAACTTCTGTGGTTCAACATGACACCAAAAGCTCTTAATTTAACTATTTAGTTTAAATTCTCAGCATAAAATCAAACAACACTAAAGATTCTCTCTGGAAGTCGTCATTTTCTGCCACCTAATGTGTAATTCTGTTAATTATCAGTTCACATTGCTGGTACTGGTGCTTGGAAACTGGACCGCCGCGGTACAAAGAGAAGCTTCCAGCTAACAGCACCAGAGCATCATCACAGGACGACGGCCAGCTCGTGTTCATGAAGGAGAAACATGGAAATGTAGGATGATGTCCCAGAAGGCAGGAAGACTTCCAATGACTGCTAATTACCACAGAAGGCATCCCAGCGTCCAGCTTCTGGTCCGTTTGTTCGGGTCGGCCTGATGTATTATTAAAGAGCGACAGCAGGACCGCTCACACGGTCAAAGCTCGTGATTAGGACCAGATCAGGGACATTAATTAACAAGATTTAAGTCCTGAAATTAAGTTTACATCATTTTTTTAGGACTATTTCAAAGTTTACGTGTCAATAAGTGATGAGGGGATGCTGGGGTATTAAGGAACAAAGCAAACAGCCTCTTGCCCCGGTAATCACAAACGTCTGCCGCCTCACATTGAACACGTCCTCCTCTGAGCGTCTAGACCGACTTCCCCGCGAATGTTTGTTCCCGATACAACTCTGCAAATCACCTCCATTAGCTGAAGTGTTGATTGGCAGCTGGCTGCTGGAGGGGATTATGGAGCCTCGGCTGTGACAACAAGCAGCATATTAAACAGTCGACCAACACGGCCGCGTCGCCTCAGCGCCGTCATTTGCAAACACTGAGGTGAGCGTGAACATTTCTGTTTTGATTCTCGGCGTCGATTTGAAGCCTCGTGTGGTTTTTATTCTGCATGTGGAAGGTTTGCTCTCAGACGTGATGGTGAGAATAACTTAAGGAAAACATCCCTTTGCGTGCAGATAATTCACTGATTTAGATGGTTTGGTGGAAACAAAAAGCTTCATCCAGCCGGCGAGGATTCAGCCGTGGTTCCTGTTTCTAAGCTCCTGCTGAAGCCTCCGTTCTCTTCGTCTCTTTGAGGCGCATTTAAGGGATTGAAAGATCCGTCTTCTGTCTTTTCAGCAGGTCTGTGGTGCTGAGCTGAGGTACAGAGGACTTGGAGGTAATGCCAGCATCAGCATGCTGGGATGCTCACCGTGACCGTGTCAGTGTGCCACACTACCAACTAATGAATCACAAACTACAGCTGAGGCTGATATGTGGTCATAAACCACCTGATTATGGTCATAAATATCTGCACTAATGCATCGAGCTGTTATTGACTCACTACAACACGTCCATCCTCTGAGGACGATGAACAGCTGAACTGAACTTCACGACAATAAATCTGATGTTTGTTGACATTGTACAGATCGGACCGACACCGGCTTCCTTTAAACCACACAGGAGTCAACGTGAGGCGCTGCAGCTCCGTCAGACATTAGTTTGTGTTTCTGGTGTCGTTTCTTTCTGCTTTTGCTGTTAAACAAAACCCAACATATATATCATATTGGTACTGAGGACAGTTTATTATTTTCCTTCTATCACTCACATGATAACCGTCACTCAGGGTCCAGTTTAACTTCAGCAAAGACTCCAGCAAGACAAAGCATCCGACGACCGTCAGAGGGAGGAGAAAGCATTCACTGGACATGTTTTATATTCTGTCAGCACTGAGAGCAAACCTGTTCACATGGATGAGCAGAAGGATAAAACACTGTTCTGGTCATTCAGACTGATGTACGTTTTCCTCTGGATGGTTCCATACGTTAACCTGTTACCGACCTAATGAGAACCAACAGAACCTGAGAGCTTCAGTTTCAGCCGTCGAAGTCATTCATCTGCAGCTCCCTCGAGTCATCCAATAAAACAGCAGTGGCCTTGTCCCTGCTGTGTCCTGCTCCAGCCTGCACCGTGACATTCAAACGGCCAAGAGGGTAGTCGGCCACTGGCTGCCCTCCATCAGAGACCAGCTGTTGAGCAGCAAAGAAAAGGGCAAAGAGGACCGATTATACCTGCCCTGGTAAATACGGGCTTCACAAAGAACACAAATGATGGTCTCAGTGAGCCCTGCTGATCCACCAGGCCCACTGATTTAAACATCCTACAGGCTTTTTATTTTTAATGCCACCAAGCACATGGAGCGGCGTCATGATCCACCAGAGGAGGAATCCAGCAGGTCGGTCCTGCAGGAGGCTGAAGGATTCTGACCTTCAGGCTACACAGGACACGCTACATCTGGATCTTGATCAGATTTATTCACAGACATGAATGAAAGTGGAGCTGCTGTCCTTATTCTTGCACACACAGGACACGGTGTGCAGACGTACAGGAGACGGCATTAAGCGCTGGAAGGTGAAGCATCACGCAGCTCACACACAGGATGACAACCTGCAGTCACACTTCACTGCATCAGTGTCTGGTAACAACACTTCGTCCTGGTGTTGTGATCCTGAACGCAGCACACGGCGAGCTCGCCAGACGTTTGTTGTGGATGGACGGCACTTACTTGTTAATTCATTTGTCCCTGCTGCCAACCACGATGCGCTAATATGTTTGTGGTGCGTATCATATTCCACACATGTGCAGAAGCGTGTTTGATGGATGACTGAACAGCTTATCTGTTTACACATCAAGCAAGTCAAGGACAGGGCTTATCTCCTAAGGGTCTGGTTTACCGCACACTGACTTAATGAGGTTCATAATGAATGGAGGAGAGGAGAAGATGCTCAGTGGAGTGCAGCCCTCACCTAAATGGGATGTATACGGTTTGTCCCTACGTCTGGCTTAAAGCTGCAGATCTGATCCAGGAGGTGAGACGTGCATTTATCATCCTTTAAAGGAAGTTGCTCCTACAAAGCAAACAAAACGTAGAGTTTACTCATGCGGGTCTGAGGAAGAGCAGAACTGGAACAGTCGGCCCATCACATCACACACCGCTCACTGCAAATCCAGTTCACCCCATTCAGGCTCGGCCCAAATCCAAGCAGATGCTGCAGCAGTCGCAGCATCCTGATTGTTGGTCAGGGCGAAGCAGCTCAACCTCTGATCCCAGCAGGTCTGCACGGCCCCAGCACAGATAGGCTAATTGATTTAGCTCAGAGGAGGTAGAGCCATCGCTGCCTCCGCTGTCAGCTAATGTCTGCCGGTTACTCAGGCGTGCACCAAACGGTAGGTGAGCACGGACGTGTGTGTGTGTGTGTGTGTGTGTGTGTGTGTGTGTGTGTGTGTAGGGGTAAGAGTTACATCAATGGAGACAAAGGCTGGGGCCTAATGACGGGCTAAAGGGATCAAATTAAAGAGATGAGCTAAACGGACCGGAACCGAACGGTGAGGCAGCGATCTGCTGAGACGCAGGTAAAATAGTTTCAGGTTCATTTTTATCTCTTTAAACATCCTCTTGTTGTCCTGTCACCACACTGCAGATGATTTAGGTTAATAAAAATATTGATTTGGCTGCAGTCAGTGATCAGTTTGAGCATAAACCAGTCTAATGATGACTGAGGAACAGTGCTGGACTCATCAGGGCTGAGTGAGCAAATAAAAAACAATCTAGTTTACAAAAATAAACAAAACAAACATTGAAATTAACTTTTTTCTTTTCTTTTACATTTTCTCCAAGTCCAGGTGTTCCCAGCATTGGAAAAAAAACTTGAGAACTTCTTACATTTTCACTTTGCTTCCATGCAAACAGAGCAGTTTGAAAACTGAAAACTCATTTCTGTCGAGTG